GGGAGGTGACGGAGCTGCGGGCAACCCTGCGGGAGCTGGAGCGCGCCCGCCTCGACGCCCGCCGCGAGCTGCAGGAGCTGCGCCGGCAGGTCAGGAGGAGGATGGTGGGACACGCACCACCCCTCATCGCATTTGGGGTGCCCCCCAACCCCCGCTGTCTCCTCCTTGGGAAGGTGAAGGACCTGGACAGCGAGAACAACAAAAGGAGCAAGGAGGTGGGCGAGCTGCAGGCGCGTGTGGCCCTGGAGGAGCAGCGGGAGGAAGAGAACCGTCGCGAAGCCTTCGGCCTCAGGCAGAAGGTTGTAGAGAGTGAGGCTGGCACAGAGGCTGCCAGGAAAGAGGTGGGAGTGTCCCCAAGACTCCTCAGTGCCCCATTGCTCCAGTGCTCCCCCATCCCGAGGTGTCCCCATAACCCCACAGTTTGGCACCCTGCGTAACCAAGGTGTCCTGTCCCCACAGCCTGATGCCTGTTGTCCCCATGCATCCCTGTCGCCCCATAACTGGTACCCCATGTCTCTGCGTGTCCCCATCACGCTCTGCCGTGCATCCCTGGGGGTCCTTTGCATCCCCATTGTCCCCTTGCTTTGGGCCTGGTGTTCCTGAAGTGTCCCCATCACCCCACTGCTCTGTCCCTTGCTTCCCTGGGGGTCCCCATACTCCACTACTCCATCCCTGGGGGTTCACCCTCACCCCATTACTCCATCACTTGCATCCCATCACTCTGTGCTTCATCCCCTGCATCCCCATCACCCCACTTCTCTGTGCCCTGCACCCCAACTGCCTCCATCACCCCCCCCTCCCCTCAGCTCCAGCACCTGCAGCAGCGACTGTCAGAGGTGGAGGGTGAATTTCGGCAGCGGGAGAAGGACCTGGCCCGCAGCCTGGAGGAGGCTCGAGGCAACGAGAAGAAGCTCCTGGCCGATGCCCGCAACCTGCAGCTGAAGGTGGAGGCGGCGCGGGGCGAAGCGGCCGAGCTGAGCCTGCGCCTGAGTGCGGCCGAGGGTCGGGCACAGGGGCTGGAAGCCGAGCTGGCCCGCGGCGAGGCTCTGCGCCGGGCTGCTGAGACCCGCCTGGGAGGCATCCAGTCCGCCCTGCGCCGTACCATGGGCATCGGCCGGACGCGGGCTGGCTCCCCAGGCAAGGGTGAGAGTCCCCGGGGCCCCCCAGTGCCCCGTCCCTTGCTTAGAGGACGGGGATGCATCCTAGTGCAGTGTGTCCCGGTGCAGTGCTCCACACCCTGCGTCCCTGGGTGTCCCCCATATCCCGTTGCTCCAGGTCTTGCATCCCCATCAGCTCATTGCTCTGTCCCCTGCATCCCTGGGGGTCCCTTATACCCCATTGCTTCATCCTCTGCATCCCTGGGGGTCTCTCATACGTCATTACTCCATCCTCTGCATCTTTGGGGGTCCCCTGTACCCCATTGCTCCATTCCCTGCTCCCCTGAGGTCCCCCATACCCCATTGCTCCATCCCTGGGGGTCCCCCATCACCCCTTTACTCCATCCCCTGCATCTCCATCCCTTGTACCCCATCACCCTGTTGCTATGTCCCTTGCATCCCTGGGGGTCCTCCATACCCCACTGCTCCATCCCTGGGGGTCCCCTGTACCCCCCTGCTCCATCTCTTACATCCCCAGGGGTCCCCCATATCCCATGCATGCATCCCACTGCAACACATCCTGCTCGTTCCAGCCTGCCTTCCTCCCTCCCTTGGGTGCTGCGCCCCGCTGTCCCCACATCACCCAGTTTGTCCCCATACAGGTGGGGGACCGGAGGGGTCGGGGAGCCCCAGCTCATCCCCGGACCCCGATGCAGCAGCCGAGCCCGAGGCAGTGCGGGCAGCCCTGCGGGATTTCCTGCGCGAGCTGCAGGATGCGCAGCGGGAGCGGGTATGGCCCCACTTTCCCCTCCCCTCCCCACCGTCCCCAAAAAGCCCCTTTCTTGCCCCGTTTTCTCGCCCCAGGAGGAACTGCGGGTGCAGGTGGGCAGCCTGGGCCGGCGGCTGGCAGAGGTGGAGGAGGAGCGGGACAGTGCTGGTGCCCGGGCACAGCAGCTCCAGAAACTGGTCACTGAAAGCGAGGAAGGTGATGGGAGTTTTTTTGGGGTGTATCCCCCCCTAAATTGTGGGTGGTTTGTCCCAGACAGGAGCCTTGCTGGCAAGCGGGGACTTTTGGGGAAACTGAGGCACAGGGGGTAGTGATGGTGCTGCCTGAGACTGCAGGATGCTCGGTGGGATTTTCCCCCTGTGCATGGCCCCAAAATGCTGGTAAAATGGGTAGAACCTCCCATGAACCCAAGTAAAACCCCCTGTGCATGCCCAGTAAACCCCAGTAAAACTAGTAAAAGCCCCCATGCATCCCTCATAAATCCCAGTAAAACTGGTAAACGCTCTGTCCATCTCCTGCAAACCCCAGTAAACCTGGTAAAACACCTACACACATCCCATAAACACCAATAAAACTGCTAAACCCCCTATAGATTGTAAAACTGGTAAAACTCCCGTGCATCCCTTGTAGACCCCAGTAAAACTGGTAAACCCCCTGTGCTTGCCCCAGAAACCCCAGTAGAACTGATAGAAGACCAATGTACCCCCCGTAAACCCAATAAAACTGGTAAAACCCCTTGTGTACACTCCATAAATACCAATAAAATGGGTAAACTCCCCCCCTGTGCTTGCCTCATAACCCCAGTAAAACTGGTAAAAGCCCCCATGGACCCCCTGTAAAGCCCAATAAAACTGTTAAAACCCCAGTGTTTGCCCCATAAACCCCAGTAAAATGGGTAAAACCCTCTATGGAACTCCTGTAAATCCCAGTAAAACTAGTAAACCGACTGTGCTTGCCCCATAAACCCCAGTACAACTGGTAAACCCCCTGTGCATGCCCCATAAACCCTAGTACAACTGGTAAACTCCCTTCATGGATCCCCTGTAAACCCAGTAAAACTGGTAAATTCCCCGTGTATCTGCTGTAAACCCCAGTAAAGCTGCTAAAAGACCTATGCACCCCCATAAACCCCACTAAAACTGGTAAACCCCCCTGTTCAGACTCCATAGATCCCAGTGAAATGGGTAAACCCACCCTACATTCCCATAAAACCACTTTGCATCCCCATAAACCCCAGTAAAACTGGTAACTCTCCTGCTATGGATCCTCTGTAAACCCAGTTAAACTGGTAAATGCCCTGTGCATCCCCTGTAGCCCCACTAAAATGGGTAAAACCTCCTGGGCAGACTCTGTAAATCCCAATAAAATTGGTGAAACTCCCTATGCCCATCCCACAAACCCCAGTAAAACTGGTAAACCTCCCCCATTCCCTGTGCACACCCCGGTAGGGTGGGTGACCGTGGTGTGGCCCCGGCAGGACGTCGCTGCGGGGAGCTGAGCAGCGCCCAGGCCACGCTGGTGCTGCAGGAGGAGACGCTGCGACGAGGCGAGCGGGAGCGGAGGGCGCTGCGGGAGAAGGTGGCGGCGCTGGAACGGAGCCTGCACGCCGCCGAGGGCCAGCGCCGAGCTGCCCAGGTGGGCATCGCCATGGGGGGGCGAAATCTTGCTCCTGTCGCCACCCCCATTCATGCCGGAGGGATTTATGGCCTTGCAGGAGAGGGTGAGCGCGGTGCGAGCTGGCGAGGCCGAGCTGGAGGATGCCAAGAGGCGGTTGGAGGCGGCGGAGAGCCGGAGCACCCGCCTGGAGCTGCAGCTGCGGGTGCTGGAGGGCGAGTTGCAACGGGCGCGGCTGGCCCTGGGCGAGCGGCAAGCGGAGGCACGGGCCATGCAAGACCGCACCGAGCTGCTCCAGAAGCAGGTAACGGCACCAGTTCCTCGAAATCCCGATTGCGTGGATTTATTTTTTTTTTTTTAAACCATGATAATATGTCGTTTGGCTCTTGGTTTTGGGGGCGTAGCTAGCGGAGAGCGAGCAGCGTGCCGGCGCGTCGCAGCTGGCCATGGAGAGGCTGAGCGCGGCCTTGGTGGCCAGTGGCTCGAAGGACAGTGAGCTGAACGCTCCGGCCTCGGCCGATGGCACTGTGGTCCACGAGCGGCTGCTGCAGCTCCAAAGCGCCCTGGCTGCCGGCGAGCTCGACCGCCGGGCGCTGCAGGTAGGAGCCAGCACCCTTGGGCGGGGTGACACCGGGGTGCCTTCGTTTTGAGGGGGGGTCACCAGGGGTGTGTTTCTCGCCCTCCCATCCCAGGAGGGTCTGGAGGTGGCGCGGCGGGCGCTGGCGGAGGCACGGGAGGAGAAGGGAGCGCTGTGGGAGCAGCTGCGGGCGCTGCGGGGGGAGCAGGAGGCCCTGCAGCGGAGCAAGGAGGAGCTGGAGGCGCAAGTCCGACAGCAGCAGGAGGTGAGGGGCGGTGTGGGGGGGCACCCAAGTCCTTTTCCCCCACCTGACACCCTTTGCCCACTCTATGAAGCATATTTTGCCCCCATGCGGCACCCTGCACCCC